GGGATTGGACATTTTGGGGGGTACCCCTCGGTCTGATTTCTTGCTGGGTATACTGTTTTGATGTCAGATTCTGCATGAATGTAATACATTCTAAAGTGTTCATCTGTACCATGAGCATGCTCCCCCATACAGTGTCATGCTGCGTCAGCAACCCCCGTCAAACACAGATTTACGCCACTGATCGCTATCAACAAATTGAACATTCCCGACGACCACACCTCTTTTCAACCAATGAGGAGATGCTTCTGCTCAAGGCGGATAAGATGCGGGAGGCAAACCTTGGACGAATCTTCCCTGGGATATAAAATACCGCCAAATCTCGGGAGGTGACAGCAGCCCATTCACTTTGCCAATAGAGTGGGATTCGAGCCCAAGGGCGATAATCAAAGCCACTATTACAGCAACCTAAGTTCACTCAGATAAGTAACAGTTCTGATTAATGACTGACTGTTGAATATTTCTTGCAGGTGACATAGGCGGGTATCTGGGACTGCTTTGTGGCATGAGTTTGATAACACTGGTGGAGTGGGCTGATTTCATCTTGATTACCCTCTACAAGAGATGTCGACGACTGGCATCGAGAAGGATCTCCACCTAGGTGTGGATTTTCTGTTAGAGCATACAGTTATTTTATTACTGTTGTTTTTAAGGTCTCTACTTTATCTCCGGCTTTGCTCTGGCATGTGCAATAATTAAGTATTTACCCTTGGAAATGAAAGATTTTCCAAGAAAGAGCTTTTTATCTGGAAGTGTGTCATTTCTGCAGAATAAATGGCTGCTTCTCAGCCAGTGCCGGTGCTCGGTTATACTACTAATTGGGCGTTGCACAATAGTGTGCGTCCAACAGTTTCCACAGCTTTGACCAATCACATTGCGCGAAATCTGTCTACCCAATGCGCGTAACGAAAGCGGGGGTGTTAGGTAACAATAGTCTAGAGTGTGTATGGGATTGGACACGTAAGGGGGTACTGCTCCGTCCTATATCTTGCCTGGTATAAGCTCAGGAAACACAACCCAGACACCACTTGACGATTCGCATGCAGAATTTGCGGTTGATGAGCATTGATTTGATAGTTAACATTGGCGGCTACATACACTGCAGTGCAATACATTTGTGAAGGTTACCATTGTCAATAAAATAAGGTTTATCATGGGGTCACCGTCTGTCAAGAAACGTCCAGTTGAACTATAGTCTTTGTACAGTTTCTGAAAGATGTATAATTGTTGTTTTGGTCATCCAAAACAATTTTGATACTTACATTAAACAAATTGAATGATTTAAAATATTTCGGCCAATGAAAATGGTTACAGCCTAACAGAAAATATTGTTGTATATTTTCTTGGTCTTAGAATTTACTTGCTACAAATGTATTAAATAATTATGTGTCAGTTATCATTTACTCGTCAAGGTTGGCGGTTTGATTTCCACAAATCTGTCAAAATTTTTAAAAAGGAACGTAAATATGTTATAAAGACATTCAGTTGTATACTAAAGTAGAACGAAACCATTTGGGGTAACATTCTCCGTGCCTTCGTGTGTTGCCTTTTGCCATTTTTGTTTCTAATCGCTCAGTGCATTTTCATGCATAATACCTCCACCCACTTTAAAGGCATTCAGACATGTAATAAATGGTAACAGTCTGGACAATGCCAATTTCAAAGACTGCAAAAATCTTTTTAAGCATTTTTCTTCTTCGTTGAGAACATGTTCTGTTACCTTAAACAAAAGATAGTTATGAAATTTTGGGATACGGACGTGACGCAATAACAAAAATGTTTACATTGAGATTTATGTCATAACGGCGTTTTTTTGGTGTCAAGAGTGTTCAGAAAAGGCCCAAATTTAGATTTGAAAGGTCCGACGTAACGTTCTCACAATTTCAAGCTCCGTACAGCAGTTCCTATTATAAATGCATGTATGTATCTCATCTCTTCAATTTCCTCTTTGATTTCGCAAGTACATTGCCGAAACAAAGATTTCTAGTGAAGCCCTCTTCAATGAGAGTTATCTGCATGGTTAAGATATGCGTGTGCTAACATCAGTTTACAACCCGGAGATGTATGGAAATATTTTGCTGTTGCAAATGAATTGGGGGTTAAATAAGAGAGGCTGATACCTGGTAAAGTGACAGGCCGCTTGGTTACAGGTAACCCTAAAAAGACAGCCACCATCACTGGTCTTGTGAGACCAAACTGATCGCTACACTCAAGAGACAGGATATCAACAATGGCCTACGCCAATTACATCGCCAGTCGTCACGTGATTGGTCACCAGCCAAGGTATGCCGTGCAGGGCTTTCTCTTGTCATCCACTTTAAACACAAAATGACACTAACTTGTGTGGTACGGCGTTTCCTTCGTGGTCGAAGCCATTTTGGTGTTCCTGAAAGTTTTTTATTTTGGTTTTTGGAATAGATTTTGGCCTAAGGGCTGTTTACAAATTGGCACTTTTTGTTAGCCTTTACAAAACAAAAAGAAATGATTACTCAAAATAAGAACCACAATGTCTGTCCGTTTATATATAAAATAAAAGAAATAGGGACACACAATAATGACAAATTCCTATCAAAACAAATCCCCCTTATGCCAACCTACCCACCCATCCAACCCTTTCAAACAATGCACCCAGATTCGTGGATAAAATCTTATCCACTGGAATCGTTTTTAATTAACGGTTGATGAAAATGATGGTCTGGAGTTTGTGAACGGCTTGGCTCTCTATAGAGTACCGAAGTGAATACGTCACGCACACATTTCGTGTGTAAAAGGCATGAGCGCGAGAACTAACGCGTGAACCAACATACGCGCGCGTACTCCATTCGTTTGCGCTGCACTTTCTCATGTTCTGGTTCACAGTCATGTCCAAAGATTGTATAGCGCTGCGCGGCGCTATACAATCTTTGGTCATGTCATACTTTGGTACTCTATTATGGACCAACATCAGAGGCAACACAATCTGAGTTTTGTTTTCATCATCCAACTCCGTCCTTGTTTCAATCCTGGTGAGGTCACAGTTCGTGTTTTGCGCAGGAATTACCATAGTCAATACCATTTGTAGCACCTGTGACCTTTAGGGCGTTCTTGTTTTCATGGTCTAAGGTCGTTTTTTGGCTAAATGTGACAACAGTATTTTAAAGAGTGAGAATCTTCGAAAGAAGCCACGGCACGACGGACTGGGAAAATCATATGTATATGATATCCACAGAAAAAAACACAATACATCTGTTATCGGGTAGTCTTGAACTTGAGCATCAAACTCATAGGCATATTTGATATCGCTCCACCACTGTCAGGACATGTCATTGTCAGATTGTTTAGCCGATGAGTTACGCAACTAAAGGGCTTTCCAGTTTTAGTTACGCGTGCGATCAAACTTAATTGTAAATGGCGTACCCTGGAACTAACTATACAGGGTGGTTAAAAAGTAAATCCGCGTTTGAGGTGAATTTTCACCCACATCCTGCAATCCCCAGAATATGTAGTGTATTCACCTAGTGTTTGGATGAGTAGGGTATTTAGCTATAATCCTGAAGAAGGTAGGTATAGCTTTGTTGGATCTCATGATTGCACCCATTACATATGTCATGTACATCCAGGTACCTTAACAAAAGCTGTAAGGCCTCCGGAAAATTCGTAGGTGTAGCATACAATTCATAACAAACACCAACATTGACATACACAAAGAAAAGTTTCATCGTTTCGCTCTGAATTTTTAATTTCAGGAAAGTTGCGAACTACTTTCTGAATAGTTTATATTGTCTGGGTTCAAATAACTTCAACACAAAATGCGCAAATCGACAATAGGACAGATCTCGAGTAGGACCCATACTGAGCAATGATAGTCCAGGCCTACAATACACTCAATCCGGCCCTGAGTGGGACCTAGACGCTAATAGCAAGGCTAACCGAATGCCAAGCCATCCACGATTTCCTCCCTCTGCGTCCCCATTTCAGTCGTTAGAGGTCAACTTTGGTAATTTCAAACACACTGTTTTATCTCTTCGGGATCATTTACACCACCTGCCTTTCTACGTCCAGGCCAGATTTCTGTAAGAAGTCGTTGGTATTACACTATTTACAGAATAGTACTTTGGAAAACAGAACCTCTTCTAAGATGTCATGGTAAGAACAGGTATTCCTGTAAAACCCTGACGAGGAGGTGAGTGATCCTGTCCGGGAACAGTGTGCTTGAGTCATGTTCGCTCCGTTCGAGTCAGTGGCGTAACTATACGGGGGGCACGTGCCCCCTGGGTGCCCCCCCCTTGAAACTTTGAAATGGACAAAAAAATATATAACTGGCTTTCCAAATCAGTTCAATTATTTTCAGTGCCCCCTGGAAAAAAAAGCTGTGCACCCCCCGATGCCCCCTCAGCTGTAGCACCCCAGTTACGCCACTGGTTCGAGCGCGAGAACAAGAAACCCGTGTCAAGAAAGGCCTCCCGAACTCAGCCCGTGTGAATACGTCACCAGTCAGTAATAAGTGGACACAAGAGGGCGCGAAGCGAGCGGTCTCGATCATAGTCTCGATCACAGATAATAATGTCTGTGGTCTGAATGTAACCAAAGCATAAACGTAGACGTCACAGAGATCCCGCCTTGAGTCAAGTCTAGGCTTTTTACTGTTTTCTATTATGCGATACGAGACGTTGTCGAATTTCTTGACACAGTCGTGTGCTTGTCGTATCGGTAGTTGTTATAAACAAAAGCTCCAAATTTGTCTCCAAAATGCCTCCCAAAAAGAAGAACAAGAAACAGAACGGCTTTTACATGTACATGATTGACAAGAAACGAAACTTTGAGATAGAACTGAACAGGAATTTGACAATGGCCGACTTGGTACCACTTGCTCACCCGGGATGGAAGGTACCGTGTAGGGGCCAATGTGTGTGTGCATGTACAAGATGCAGGTCACTGTCAGTGTCATGACACTGTGTGCACGTGGAGTTCTACAATGTGCGTCATACAACTGTTATTGCTACATGTACTTGGCAAAAGGATATCACTTCCAAGTACATGTAGCAGTGACAATGAAAGCTCATGTAACTTGGGAAACTTGCACACTAGGGGGAGCTTGTTGCTTCATCGTAGGAGAGGGTCTACTTAGCCTACCCCTAGAACTGGGGGATTGTTTATTTGGGGACCCTCTTCCTGTAATAGGGGAACTTTGGAAGTGACCTTGGTAGATGACTGTGACATGTATGACATCATGCTTAATAACTGTAGGGTTAATGTTGTTAAAAAAGGGTAGGGTTTGAGTTTTAAGGGGAAACTATGAGTGTTTTAACACATGACACATGGTGAATGAATTCAAATTTACATGGTTAGTTTATCCATGGTTTATCAGTAAAAAGTTCCACACCAACAGCTACCATCATGGTCATATCTTGCAGGCCCGAAGCACGCACATAATTTTTTCCCAGACTTGTGACATGCGTGTATATCTTCTATTGGCAGTAATAATCACCAGCCATTTTTAGAAAGGATACAACGGACGGCAACACGACGGTGCCATGACATGATGGCACGATGCAAAGCAATTTTGTTGGCTACAGAACACCATACTATTTACATACAGTGTTGTAGTCGAGTCACCAATGTCGAGTCCCGAGTCCAAGTCTCGAGACACAAACCTGGATTTTGAGTCTCAAGTCACAAACCTCGAGTCCAAGTCACAAGTCATGATCAAGTTGTTCAGCCAATTATTCTCTAAGTATATCAAGCCATGGAGGACATCCATGATCAAAATTGTAAGCTATCTCTTTTGTTTATGCTGATAAATTACACCTATTGCAAAAGCTATGGGTACTCTTTTGCTTATGAGAATCATCCACCATTTAATTTTTAAATTCCAGTGTCTTCGTTTATTTCTATATTTAGGGAATGAGGTGCTGGCCCAGTTTTAAAGTACATTAAAGACGGGTTCAGGAGAATGTGTGGGCCAAATATGAGGGTATTTAGAAACCTTTGACAGTCACGCCCAGTGCAGGCCATGCATTTTTATTCGCACGCGAGCCTGGCCATTTCACTAAAAGTGTTCATATTCACAACTGTTTCTGGAGACTGAATGTGTACGTCCTTACTCACGTGTGAATAGCAAATGTACGCTCAGCACGTAGTCTGATTACCACACGCACAGTTTGTGGACACGTCGGAATATGACATGTCTGGTTGACTTATCAGTGGATATTTTATAGCCGTACATAAATAGGCGACAATGCTCCACGCTTGCAAACCAGTGATAGCACAGGTGCATACAAATTAATTTTTGACAGCGTACAGTATATACAAGTATATGGTAAATATGTTTAATGAAAATACATGACTCGAGTCACGAGTCACCAAGCTCAAGTCTGAGTCATTGTTGTCAAGTCTGAGTCATTATCCAGTGTGACTTGAGTCAAGTGCGAGTCATAAAAAATGTAACTCGAGTCCGAGTCCTGGACCCGAGTCACACAACACTGATGGCAGATGAACACTGTGCAATAATAACACGGCATGTTGCGGGTTGTGCCACGGTACATACATGTAGTTAGGCATTGGCTTTGCACTTACAAAGTACTTATCAGCATATCATGACGTGACGTGATAATATCAGCTGCATGCATGCATGCTAATCCAGCCACGTTTGAAAAGACGCCACTCGCATTCAGTGGGGACAAAAGAAAGTACACAACACCTCACAATTCTTGGCTCTCTTTACAGGCCAGCAGGCCTGGCTGAAATATTCAGGAGTCAATGAAGGTTGCCTGTCAGCTTAGAGTAGCCACCAAACTGTTATTCGTGTGGGTGTAAACGTCCATTAAATGAAATTATGAATTTTTGAAGAATTTTGAAAACCGAGAATCTTGAAAATCTCCGTAGGTGTGCACTACATTTTAAAAGCACCCGGCAGCAAGTGGTTATGCCACCTGTTACAGTGAGCAAGAGATCTAGGGTTTAAATCCTACCAGGGTAAGCTTGTGGATATTTTCTCACAAGTCCCTTGGACAACATTGAATATACAGAAATGAGTATACACCGGTGAGAGGCAAAATTGCCCAAAAGTCCCAAAATAAAACTTACTCGTCACTGCTGACACTGCAGTCTCTGAAGGGGGAAAACAGGGATGCACTACCAAAAAACACATGGGGATCGTACCAACAAGCACTCAAGTTACATTTACCAAAAGGGGAACTACTCCTATTTTCATTCACTTAAAATAAAAAAGATTTTAAGATTCAAAGAAGTGGATTTTGTAGATTTTAGTCTGAAGTAGAGACGTTCAGGGACCAGTTTTTGTAGGTTTTTTTTTTTTTTTGTAGATTTTTTGGGCTCACATGTACTCATGTTTGATGTCTTGCTTTTAACCACTCAAAAGACTAAAGAAACAAAGTTTTATAACACTTATTTTGTTTGATGCAATCACAATCTTCGATTATTATTACCTTCATTTGCAGGAGCTTTCAGATGAAGAGAAGCTCAGGTATACTTCCCGTGCCAAGACATACAGTGAGGAGCAGAAATACGCAGACCCAGACACTGGCAAGATGGACTGCACTGGACAGCTGATCAGTGTAAGTCGGCACCAGAGTCGAGTGGAGACCTCTTAAAACTATCACAAGACCATGACAAGACTATCACAAGACCATCATAAGACCAACACAAGACTATCACAAGACCAACACAAGACCAGCACGAGACCATTACGAGACCAACACAAGACAATACAAGACCATCAGAAGACCAACACAAGACCATCACAAGACCATCACAGTACCACCACAAGACCTGCACAATACCAACACAAGACTATCACAAGACCACCACAAGACCAACTTAAGGCCATCACAATACCAACACAAGACCACCACAAGAACTTCAGTCTGAATTCAAGTCACAAGCTATGGAAATGAACTACAACAAAAGCATTCCTTGGTCATTGTTTCCACTGTTACTTGTGACAAGTCTTATGAATAGTCTTGTGTCTTGTTTTTGTGATGGTCTTGACTACAAGACTGGTCTGTGCTGCAGTCAAATTTATCCATAGACCTACTGTATATGTACATGTCAAATTGCTATGGCCCCAAGTCACTTTGCAAAGTGAAACCTGTTTGGCACGTCCATATTTGTTCATAACCATGTGGACAACTTGAAATCATGTAGTGCAGATTTGCATGTAGGTATATCTCTGTGCGAATCCAAAAGCAACGTGACACGTCATCAAACCCCATACACCGGACGCCTGAATGATCGATCAGTAAATGAGCATTTGGATAGCGTTCCAATGTCAGGGACTCAAAGTGACTCCAATTTGAATTCAGCTGGACTCTGCTTGACCTCGCATTGTAGATGGAAAAGGAGGATACATTGAACCGCATGCATCATATGCACTTCTTTCTATCAAAACCATCACATTTAAATTGAAGAGAAATGACACGGGAAAATAAAAATAAACAGCTCTTATAGAATAAAGTATAAATATCCGGGATATGCCTATAACGCATGTTATTCTACATGTCCTCTTTCTCTATCTACCGACCACACACTAGGACTTGACTCGACTTTGACGTAATGGTTACCATATTGTTTAGGAACTCGCTATCAAGGACAAGATGTACTGAGTACTGTTACATGTCTTTGTTTTGTTTGTCATTGCGGATGCAGGAGCGGGTGGATCGTATGGCCCTGAACGAGACCAGGCGATCCAAAGAGCGGAGACAAATGATTGAGAAATGGCCATCAGGGCATTGTAAGTACTGAACAGTGGACCAATCCTCAACAGTTCTTTGTCAAGTAGACATAGAACCCAGGTTGATAGAAGCCCCCCGCACACCTGTCTGATTGACGGGGTTCCCACGGCCATGGAGGGTAATGGAAGATCCTGAGGGAAAAAGTTGTCACAGGAAGTCATGGAAAAGCCGTGGCAAACGAGGAAAAAAGGATGTCGTGGAATCCTATTCTGAGAGGAAAACAAGTCATGGACAAGGCCTGGAAATCAAGATCATGGAAGGGTTATTTTTGATGGGCCACTTTGGATGTGATCACAGAGCAATGATAAGCTGAGAGGCTACATATATATCTTTGTAGAAGGCAGAATGTTTCAACACAAATATATGGCATATGGAATAGTTTGGATTGTGACATATTTAATGGGGGTCTGGCTTAATCCCTAAATGCATCGTGCATCATTGGGTATTTATCAACATATATTAAGTAATCGATATATGTGACCTTTGCCACTGTAGCTGTTTGCATGGAGACATTCTACATGTTGGCCTTTGAGACGCTGTGCGAGCTACCCGATGACCTGGGCTACCTGCCGTGTGAGGTCGCCTGCGTGTCGTACAGCCTGTACTCGGGAATCATTGATGTTTTTCACAAGTTCATTGAGCCAGGCAGGCTGCCGGTTGGATATCGCTACCAGTGTCAGCGCAAGAGTGAGTCAGCATAAGGCCAGGAAAGAAAAAGTTAGGCTTCCTATTTCACAACCCTGTCCTCTTTCGTGCGTCGCCCGCCAGACTCTGGGGCTAGAGGAATTTGCAGGAAATATGAAATGGGAAAAAGAAAGTGCCCGTTGTATTTTTAGTGTATAACTAGGAACATCTATCCGCCTTGAAAATTCTTTAACACACCATGTTGCTATAAAAATAATTCCCAGGGGCTTCTTCACAAATATTCACCGGGGGTTCCAGGACAAATCCTGTCAGGGAGTTTTCATGGATTTTTGAGGCTCTGACCACCCCTCCCCCTATTACAGTGAGGAGACCAAATGACACCCTGACATAGGGATCAAACAGTCATCTGTTTTTCACAGATCACTCGGTGAAGGAAGTTTCTCTGAGGCATTTCACGGAGTCTTGCTCAAATCCATAAAGATAAAAAGTCCAGGCAAAATGGTACATGAAGGGATTCTCCAGGGGAGGTGATGTTCGTGTGTGGTGCAGAAGGGTTCAACAGACTTATTTGTGCATGGCCCCCTTTAAATGTGGTTCATTTCATTTAAAATAGATGCAGCCTTGCTTCTCGTGCTCTTACCTTGACCAGTTAACACTCAGCTGAACTCTGAATCCGTGTTTAAAAAAGTGTCACCATATTAATAAAATTTCCAACCCTTTCACACTGTGTTCTGATGCTATTTACTAATAAGAATTCATTGTAAACAGAACACTGAATGATATTTGCTATAATGCCCGGCTAAATACATGTACCACAGCCACTTGAGGGCGCCACACACACATTCAACTCAGAACCATGTATAGAGAGAGTTGCGACATGAATGTCACCATTGTTGGAAACAAACTGGCAGGTGTATGCACCGCTGCGCTTGCTGCATGCTTTGCTGTTCCCATTATGAACAGCCATTTGTTTCCAAAATTTGAAGTTGGTGCTACTCTCTCTATATACAGCTCTGACTCAACTCTGCAGATTAGACTAAGCCTCTTTGGGCTAGTTGGAGCGACGACTATATTTTACCATAGTTCCACTAACTCTCATTGAACTCGTACTAGGCAACGATGATTGGACTAGTCTAGTCAACTATTTGCAGCCAGCTTGTCAAATTAGATGCATCACTGGTGGCCATAAACGGCTTTTAATAGTACAGTGCAGAGAGGACCCGTTAAAAGAAAAATCCTGGAAAAACAGTGTGCCACTAGTAAACGACTTTTTCTCTGTAATGTTTGCTATTTTACCTTTTCCTGTGACCACCTTTTCTCCCCTTCAACCTAATGACCGGACAACAGTTGACAGGGGTCGCTCACACTAGGGACGTCAACAACCAACCACAAGTTAACCAGTGGTGCTTAATCGAACTTGCTCCCAGACTCAACTCTGCAGACTAGACTCAGCCTTGGTGTATGTAGACAGACACTGTGGGAGACTCTGCAGACTAGACTCAGCCTGGGTGTATGTATACAGACACTGTGGGAGACTCTGCAGACTAGACTAAGCCTTGGTGTATGTATACAGACACCG